GACAGAAAGAAAGAAAGAAAGAAAGAAAGAAAGAAAGAAAGAAAGAAAGAAAGAAAGAAAGAAAGAAAGAAAGAAAGAAAAGAAAGAAAGAAAGAAAGTTAGTTTTAAACCAAGACTAAGCCCAGTTCTGAAGGATGTATTTCTTATCTTTTATCTAACCAGCTACCCAACTCTTAAAAGGGCCTAAATCCATATTATAATTGTTTTATTCCCAAAGGAGTATAGATTTTGTATTCTGAGTTATTTAGATAGAAATTCTGTAAAATGTTTAGAGAAGGAAGGAATGTGCTTTATTTGCAGCTTTTAAAGGTTTGGCAGTCATGTGTCTGAGTCACTAATGAAACAAAGCTGTCTCTAGTAGAATTCTTAAGGACTGATTGTTTGAATCAGTTGTTAAACTAGGACTCTTGGTTGGGCTGAGTGCAGTGACTCACACCAGGAATCCCAGTGAAACAGGAAAAGTTCCCTCGTCCCCCTCGGCAGGGGTAGTGGCTCGCCTCTTCAGTGTCCTGGGGCTCAAACCTCTAATGGGAGCATGCTCACGGACAAGTTGTGGAGCTCCCACCCCACAGCAGCATCTAAGGATGAATGCTTACAGCTCCTGAAGCCCCAGTGGGCGTGTGTTACAGTGTGCTCTTTTAGTTTTGCCATCTGTAGGTGGCTTGTGTTAGCTCAATTAGACTCTCTGCCGTATCGGAAGGAGAGAGGGCTTTCTGTATCCCGAGTTCTTGCCTTGGTGTACCGAAAAATCAGATCAAATGTGGGCTTGGAGAATGAGTGCGAGGTTTTATTGAATAGTGGAAGTAGCTCTCAGCAGATGGATGGGGAGCCCGAAGGGGATAGAGTGGGAAGGTGGTTTTCCCCTGAAGTCTAGCCGTTCTTGGCCAAACTCTGTGTCGTCCCACCATAGATGGCCTGCTGTCATCTGCAGGTGTCTGCCGGTATGTTCCTCTCACTGTCCAGCCGCTTGTGTGTTCTTCCGCCAGTGTATTCCTCTTAATGTCCAGCCGCTTGTATCTCTACCTGCTAGGGTCTGGGGGTTTTTATAGGCACAGGATGGGGGCATGGCTGCCAGGGTGGTCTTGGAAAATGTAACATTTAGGCATGAAAACTGAAATGCCAGTCCTTACCTAGGTCTGTGGGCACAGACTTGGGGGTGGAGCACTAGCCAGGGACCACGCCCTTCTCTACCCAGCACTTCCCTGCCTTCCCCTCCTGTATCACCGACCCTTTGGGAGGCCAAGGCAGGAGAATCACAAAGCCAGGAGTTCAAGACTAGCCAGGACAACACAGTGAGACCCTGTCTCTACAAAACAATAAAAAAATTAGGTGTGGTGGGCATGTGCCTGTAGTCCCAGCCACTTGGGAAGGCTGAGTTGAGAGCACCACTTGAGCCCAGGAATTTGAAACTCCAATGAACTGTGATCAAGCCATGGCACTGTAGCCTGGGTAACAGAGCGAGACCATATCTCTAAAAAATAAAAAAAAAAAAAACGAGGACTCTGACAACTAGGACTAGTTGTCAGACTAGTAAACATGTACAAATTTGTGTTTACAGATTGCAAAGTAGTCATTTTCTTTGCAGACGTTTTTTGTGATTCAGTTATGTATCTTTATCAGACTATAAGATGTTTCAGAAACAAAAGTATTACATAATCTTATTAAAACAGTTTCTTATAAAAATGTTCTCTTTTAGATTACCTCTCTAGTGACCCTTCAGCTGTTAACCCTGGTTGGCCATGACGATCAGCTTGATGGACCAAAATATAAATGCACAGTGTCTCTAGACTTCATCAGAGCTATTGCAAGGTAAAATGTCTTGAATTATGTAAATGAGATACTAAATATAAAAATTAGTGTTTTCCTAATGTAATGTCATTAGTCATGACATTTAAACATGAAAAAAATCATGTATTTAAGTGCCAAGAATGAATAACCGCTACTATAGAATGAACTTTCTCAAATTTACAAATGACATATAATTGGGAGAAATAGCTAATATGTTAGAGGACAAAAATCAAGATTCTGAAAGACCTTAATAGGCTGGAATAAATGATCCCATAGTAGCAAGGTAAGATTTAATGGACAGTTGGCTACAGAAAACTCTCTTGTATTGAAATAAGATGGGAGAAAGCTGACTTAAGTCCTAAATTTTTTAGCTGACTACAAGGCTTTAAAAATCCTGACTTAGGTAACACTGATAGAAATATAGTGTCTAGGTCAGGGGACATAATCATTCTATTGTGTGTTGTCACAGGCAGATCAAACCTGGTGTGCTGTGCTGTGTTTAGAGTTTTCAGAGAGACAAATGGATACATGCTGAAGGGGCACGAGGAGAGTGGTAGAATGAGGAATTGTGTCACGTCCCTGACTGAAGGACAGAGTGTGAGAGAAAAGCCTTAGGAAGGACATGTGAACTGTCTTAAGTATTTCAGGGGTCTGTCATGTGCAAAATGGATGAAACTAATTCTGAGTAATTCTAGAGTGTTAGAAGTTCTGGGGAAGAAAGTATATTTGTCAAAATGAAAGCTGTCTAAAAATACAAGTTTCCTTACAAAGAAGTGTACTTAGTGTTATGGAAAATGTTCAAACCATTTATATGAATAAGTGACTTCATCATACGGTTGCAGCTGGATAACAATCTGTCAGGACTGTAATGGAAGAGGTGATGAGTGTGTAGACTGGCAGGTTGAACAGGGCATTCCATAGACAGTGTGTTCCTAATCTTTTTGAATATGAAGATTCCATTTTAGCATCCTTTAAAAATTAGTCATAAAAGTATTTACATATATTTCAAAATTAACAGTATATAGGCCTGAGACATTATTTTTTCCAGCCTAAAACAGTGCTTGATATCAGTATAGATTTGCAGATCTCCTCTGATGATTAATTTTACAGCTTCTTGAGATTCTGAACTCCATAGGTTGGCAGCTTCTCCCTGAAGCCTCTTCTGAATTAAAAGTGCTCTGAAAAATAAATAAATAATAAATTAGTGAATGAATGGCCAGATGCAGTGGCTCACACCTGTATTCCCAACAGTTTGGGAGGCTGAGGTCGGAGGATTGCTTGAGGCCAGAAGTTCAAGATGAGCCACAACGTAGTGAGACCCCCGTCTACAAAAAAATGTTTTTGAGTTCTGTGATAATATGATGCAGGTATTTACCACATTTTTGTGGCATATAGGCTCTAAAACATGAAGTCAAGGGTTTTAATGTTTCATTTTAATAAAACCAGGCAAACTTTTACACAGAAAATTGAGCAGAAACTTATTTTTTAGTGTGTTAAGTATGATCACAAAGCAATTACTTCCTTTTAAAAAGCAATTATATTGGAACTTCTGTATCTAAGAGCCTCTATCCAAGGCATAAATTTGGAGGGAAGCCTGTTTATTTCAGGGATTTTATTATTACTCTGAATGTTAGGTTGTGCCCCAACATAATCATATGCAAAACAGAAGTTTGTGGGTTCCTAATATAGTGAATCTCCATTGAATCAGACTTAATTTGACATTCCTTTAGTGCAGAGCATCACAGTGATGGATGCTCAACACTTCCAGAGACATGCACTTTCATTTACCACCTTGCAAGCAAGAACTTTAGACCTGGAATCTTGGCATAGAACTTGGGGACTCTTTTGTTTTCTTTACTGTTCTCTACTTCCCATGGGCAATATCCGTAGAATGAGCACCCGCTCCTCCCCACACCTGCCCTCTTCCATTCTCTCATCCCGTGTTTTGTACTTCGTTTTTGCTAACTTTACCTTTCATTCTTTCCCTCCCTCCCATGTGCCCCATTCTTCTAATAGTCTTCCTCATTGCCTTAGCTAAAACCTGATTCCTTCTTTGGGATGCTGCTTCCCCTGGACTTATCTCTAGTTGTACCTATGTATTTTCTCAAACCCTAATCCCTCAGGGTTGGAGGTCATTTCAGTGCCATCCTTCCTGTTGCCACTTCCAGACTGTTACTGCCCCCAACTTCTTATAAAAATGTGGACTTCCTTGAGACCCATGCAACCTGGCTCTATTTCCCTATTCTCCTTAAGACTGATTTTTGTCTCCCCAGCCATTCCACTTCATGTGTTGAAATAATAGGGCACCTGGTATCCAGACTTCTTTTCTACCTGAATTTTTTTTTTCTTTTCTTTTTTTTTTAGATGGAGTGTCTGGCTCTGTCGCCCAGGCTGGAGTACAGTGGTGCGATCTTGGCTCACTGCAACCTCTGCCTCCCAGGTTCAAGCAGTTCTCCTGCTTCAGCCTCCCATGTGGCTGGGATCACAGGCACACACCACCATTCCTGGCTAATTTTTAGCAGAGACAGAGTTTCACCATGTTGGCCAGGCTGGTCTTGAACTCCTGACCTCAAGTTGATCTGCCTGTATCAGCTTCCCAAAGTGCTGGGATTACAGGCATGAGCCACCGCGCCCAGCCTCCACCTAAATTCTTGACTCTGTTTAAACCACAAATTCTAATGTCTGCGTTCATTCTGTTCAGTCTTCACTCTGTTTCACAGAACAAAGTTGAAACCCTCAATTGGGAATTGAGCTACCTGTGTTGGTGTCCATCTTCTCTTACTTTCCTTTTTCAGCAGGATGGGTTTCTTCTGCCTAAGGTGGATTCTTTTACCTATGCTCTGAATTCCATCTCCTCCACTATCCCAGAACCTCTGTTAGTCTCGGCTGTTTGTCCTCTCAGTGGCACCTAACACTGTTGTCTACTGTGTCTTTCTTAAAACTCTCTTCTCTTAGACATGATTCCACAGTATTCTGGTGTTCCTCTTTATTCTTTGGTTGTTCTTGCTAACAAAGGTTATCTTTACCAGCTGACCTTTAAATATAGCTGTTCCTTGAGGCTTGGCCCTAGGCTCTTTTCTCATATTACATTTTTTTCCCTAGGCAACTTGAGCCACACCTGTGACTTCGACAATCATCTGTGTATTAATAATGTCCCTATTTTTAAAGACTAGATCTACTTTTTATAATATTCTTGACCCATCGCTTCTCGGCCTTTTGGCTAAGATCAAGTGTACAATATTCTTGACCTTTATTGTTGTTTCCCAGCTATATTAATACATTTCCAAAACCGAACTTAGGAATTCTAACCTCTGCTTCAACCCGCCAACAAAAAGTGAAATATCTGGCTTTCCTCCAGTGTTTCTTATTTCGGTGATAAGCACTGCAGTCTGCTCTGTTGCCCAGGCCTGAAATTTGAGAGTCTTTCTTGACATCTCTCTCTCCCCCACTCGTAATATTCAACCATTTGGCCTATTGAGCTTACAAAGCCCCTCTTATTTGTCTCAATTTCATTCACTTGTTATCATGATACTTTTATCACTCTAGATCAAGCCACCATCATCTCTTCTCTAGCAGTCTAATTGATCTTCTGTCTACTCTTATCCTCTTATAATTTATTATCCATGCTGTAGCCAGAATGATTTTATAAAAATTTAATGTCACCCTGCTCCTTAAAAAAATTCAGTAGTTTCCCATAGCTCTTGAGATAAATAACAGAATATTTTCAATAACTTACAAGGCCCAAATGATCTGACTCCTACCTGTGCCTAGCCCCATCTAGCACATACACCTTCTTTCCTCGGTATCTGCACTTTAACCACTGTGGCTTTTTTCCATTTTTTATATTCACCATTCTGCTTCCCATCCTTGTATATACAGCATTTTCCAGCTTCTCTTCTCCTTCAGCTAGCTAACTGCTACATAACCCTTAGATTTCAGTTTAAATGTCTGCTCCTTAAAGACGCCTTCTCACAAATACCACAGCCACCATCATCACCCCCACCCCATACCCGCCCCCACACACAAAATTTGGAAGTTCCCATTTTGTTCTTCATTATACTTAACAAGTTTTACTTAAATAATTGAATAATTATAGTTAGTCTTTCTTTCTAGAACATAAGCTCATAACCTCAAAGCAGACTGTGTTTATGTCTGTCACTGCCTTATCCTCAAACCTAGCATAGTGCTTTAAACTTAGTATGTACTAAATAAATATTGCATGTTTTCCTACAGTGATTAGCAGTAAAAATTCAGATGAAGGGGAACCATATGAATTTGTTTTGGGGGACAGCAAGAAGGAAGCTCAGAGACAGTCTCATTCCAAATCAAGGCTTGATGGGAGAGGAAGTCCCAAGGATAGTTACCCAAAAAAAGGAAGGTTGGCCTCATTCCAAACACCTGTGGCAGAGAACAGATGAGATAATAAGGATCACAGGATATAACCTAAATGTCTAAAACGGCAGTCAATCAATAGCATCATTTTTTTTTATTATTATTATACTTTAAGTTCT